AAAATGACTTGAAAGGATAGAAAGAAAGGAACTGTGAAAATGAGTGGATTGTTTATCAACTTCACCATTGGCTACTAGTCTGGCCCCGCCTATTTGTGGCATCGGGGGGAGGGTGGGGGTGGTGCAACCCTGCGCAATGAAGAGGTGGGGCCAGACTACTTGGCTACCAATTTTGGCACTAAATACTGCAGTACTATTAGCTAACTTTTCCTTTTGTCCTATTGGTATGCGTTGCCTATGCTTTATTTTATATCCCATACTCCATATGTACAAAGAGTTACCGTATAGCGCTTTAATTTGGCGGAGTTTTATTTTGGTGATTGGTGGTTTGCAAGCAAAATCCCCAATATTAAAACCGCCAATCATTAATGCGCATGCTCAGTAATGCACGTGTACACAAAAATCGCCAAATTAAAAACAGCCAATTACAATTTTACAGCAAAATTGCCAAAATAAAGTGCTGTACAGTAATTCAAATTGGTCACTTTTTGCTCAAGTTACTAATTTAAACTACATGTTCTTTTATGTATCACTTACATATGTACAGTAGATATGAATCATGTAGTTGATTTACAAATGAAGAACATATTACTGTAGTATCTAATAGTAGTTTAGTGTTGACTGCCAAACTGACAGCCAAATGACTCATAAATGAATAAAGGAGCATTGTTATTACCGTATAGCGCTTTATTATGGTGGTGATTTATTTTGACGATTTTGCTGCAAAATTGTAATTGGCGGTTTTTAATTTGGCTATTTTGTGTAGACATGCATTACGGAACATGCGCATTAATGATTGGCGGTTTTAATATTGGCAATTTTGCTTGCAAACCGCCAATCGCCAAATTAAAGTGCTATACGGTATACATGTAGACATACAGATAGGCTGATTTAAATGATACCCAATGACTGATAAAGTATTTAATACAGTAAATGCCACTCATGATCAAACAATTGTATGATATCTATCCTTCCTTAAAACAACACACAATGCTTGTATTGATCTCATTTTATATACCGTATAGCTGGAAAAGTTTGTGGGAATTATATTTTGCAATTTTGTACGAATAGAGCAAATTTTAATGCATGCGGAATTTAATTTTTCTGGTGTAGGCGTGTACTGTTGATACACCCATTACTTATGATTCTTTGCGGAAGTAAATTGTGCATTTTTATGATGAACAGCAAACAGCAAAATTAAATTCCAGCAAATATTTCCAGCTAAACGGTAACTATATTTTCTTAATTTTATGGATTCAAATACCAGCAGTAATACATTATCAGCATCGACTGTGTATTTTATTTTTATAGTTGTTTGCAAAAATCTTGATACTTTCCAGAAACAAAACGCTATGTATAGATGCTAGCTTTTATTATTTAAATTATTAATAATGGCAGCCAAGAATAATGTAATAATAATTAGAGTACATGTACATGTATGTAGGTAGTCTGGTCCAGCGCAACGAAGAGGTGGGGCCAGACTAGTTTATAGGTAAATGTAGTAGTATTGTATGAGTTCTAGTTAATGTTCTTGGCTTGAGAACTGGCTTGATCACCTTAATAGCTTTCACAGTAGTGAAAGCTATAGCTGTCAGCATTTGCAACAGCTTTATCAGGATCATTTTTAGCTAACTGCTGACACCAATTCGAATAATACTTTTTATCAGTCTTATAGCCCATAGCATGAGACCATTCGTGCAATAAAATCCGTTCCTTGGTGTACTTATCACCATCACAATAAACTGGATAATTGCTATTATAATAATGTCCACAAAAGTAGACAGCAGTATATGGCCTAGGAGGATAAATCCTGTAAGTCCAGGCCACAGCATTGCACTTTACGCATGGCCAACTAGCCATAGCATCTTCGTATGTGACAGTATGATCTGTCAGTCCAGTTTTCATATTTTCATATGCCTCTGTGACTTTAGTTGCCCTCTCAGCAGTATAGGCACCAAACCATTTCTTATACAGTGCATCGTTTGGACCGACTCTACCTTTAGCTACTTCAATCTGACTGCAGAGTTTCTTGTGAGCGTTTAATGTATCAGTAATGTGTTCATCAGTATCAACAACAAAGTTAGCACTGGCACAATCTTGAATGTGAACAGTGTGGC